ACTGCCCTTCAGGTGTAGAGACTCAAGGTGCCCCTGCTGATTCAGGCAGAATCAACCTCACCTGGGAGCTTAGACACTCAGGTCTGTCTCTGATCTACTGAATTAGAATCTGCATCCAAAAGGAAAATCTGGGGGTTTTAGCAAGCTTCTCAAGTAATTCCCAGGAAAATGAATATTTGAAAATCATTGATCTAGTGAGGTTCTTCTCCACTAAGCATGTACATCCCCAACCCCCAGGGGAAATAAAATGAAAACCAGTGTCTGAGCCCAAAGCCTGACCAGCTACGTAACAGGCACAGGGCCCAGGCACAACTATATTTCTAAAGTTCCCCAAATGATGCTTCTGCCACCACTGCACTGATCTGAAACTCTCATTTCATAGATGTTCTCTCACTTTCCATGGAGTCCAAGGTCCAAGCAGGGAGGTCTATTTGCCCAGCAGATTTTGGAGGCACCATAGAATAAGACCCTTTATCTCCGTGTTTGTAGGAACATAGCAGTTCCCCTGAGGAGGGGCTCTAAGGCCTAGTTCCATTTCACATTTCCTGGTGCATGCAGATCATGGCCCTCACAAGGGTCTACCCCTAGCTGACTATAGTTGGGAGGAGGTAAGTCAGGAGAGTGAGCCCCACCGCCCAGGAGCAGTCCTGGCATGGCCAGACATACTCTATCTTCTTCCTCTGTAATGGGATCAGACCAGGAACTGGCCGGGACTCTAGATTGCTATGAAATTTTCCTATGATGTCAGAGCTGGGATGACCTTACATCACCCTGACCAAACTAAGGCAAGATGAGCCCCCAGTCCCCTTTCCCAGTCACTCACCCACATGTAGCCACATTCAATCTATTACAAAATTCTGACAGCCCTACTTGCCAGTGCTTTGGAATCTGCTTTATTTCTTAGTCCCCTGTCCTAATTCAGAGGCAGAAGTCTTCCCTCCCCACTATTGTGATAGCTGAACATCTGGTGTCCAATTAACCCTTTTTATTTCTGGGCTGCCCCTGGAAAGAATTTTCTAAAACATGCTTATAAACTTGCAGCCTTATTCAGGATAAATCTAAACCCCTATGCATGGCATTCAAGGTCATCGTAAGGTTCCCTTCCTTGTGACTCCTCCAGGGTGAGTCCTGCTTCACTTGCGGCGGGAACATACCCCAAGTTTTGGGCCACAAGCAAATGCCTTATGTGTAATTCTTGCTGGGGGGCTGGGCTCTGATCTTTGCGAGTGTTAGAGACCAACTCAGTAGGTTTGTGAGAGCTGGAGGAGCCAGAACCCAGGGAAAATGCCTCCTGGCTCCAGCTGAGGAGTCTTTGGCCCTCACCGCATTCAAGGCCCCTGCACCTAGAGGGGACAGTGATTCTCAGTGAAGATATCTTGGTCAGCTCCAGGAAAAGGGTTTGCCCTGCTCCGCATCCCTGGGTCCCCACCACTGCAGTTTCTCCTTACCTAGAAGGGAACCCCCACAGAAGGGCTGACCATTCAGGTGAGACAGCATGGCAATCCAGGGGCTGGTGCCTTTCTGGACCGGGCGTCCATTGAAGATCCTGGCCATCGGTGTCCGGGAGACCTTGGGGAGCCCACACACTGCAGCCAACGGAGGGAGATACAGATCACAATCTGGGCTCCATCCTTTGGCAGAGTTCCTAGCTCATCACCCTCTGTAAGGAACAGCTGCTATATTCAGTCTTCCAGCATCTATTGCTATTTTCAGAAACTGCACCCCAATTTTCCTCTGGGGCCCCCATACCCTTTATTAGTGTGCATAAGCTGAGTTGGATTGACCTTTCTTCTAAGTTCTTGGGTGCTGGAATAAGATCCAGACCTGACTGATAAAAGCCTCTCAACCACAGGAATTGCTCAGAGATGGGACTGTAATGCCGACCACATTGACGAAAGGCTGAATTGGGAGTTGGGCGAAACATATCAGAAAAAGAGAAGGTTTTTTGTTTGTCTGGGCTTACTGAGCTGCTGGCCAGAACTCAGATCCGCTAATGATCACTTCCTGGAGAATGTGCTGGGAGTGATGCTATCAGCAGGTAAAAAGTGGAGCTGGAAGACAAGGGAAGCCAGAGAACGAAACTTGATCTTTGAACCCCTTGATTTAACCACGGCTCAGCCTTATGGTGTGGAGTTCTCAGTTACATGAAACTATCAGCTCTCTTCCCTTCAGTTTATGTTGGGTTTCCATCACTTTAAAGAATCTTGACCAATTTATATCTTTTTGGCTCATCCACAGTGATCTCTTCTCATAGAACCTTTCCTTGGGGTCTTGGGAGTTGAAGACCCCACATCAAACATGTGCCAATTTCATACTCTGTTTCTACTGATTTAGATTCAGGGATACAGGCACACAAAACTTTACAACTGAAAAGTCCTTGAGAACCTCTAGGCTGTGCCTTTCCTCATACAGCAAAAGCAACTGAGGTCTAGAAAAAGCACTTGAGTTGCCAAAAGTTAATCTACAAGTGAGTGGCATGACTAGTTGTCCAAACTTCCAACTCTGGGCTCCTCCCCTGGCCAGCGCAGCTAACTGATCTCTGTGACCCCCCAGGGCACTCACGGCCCGAGCCCTTGGGTCCCAGCAATCATCTGCTTGCCTCGTAGCTGTCACCAGCCTCCTGGGCACCCTGGGGACAGTCACAGGGGACTGCACAGCTACCTCGGCAGCCCCTCCTGATTGTCGTTCTGTACACTCGCGGCTGGCTGCGCCCACACCCTGCAGATCCTCATTGCCCACTGGGTGCGGACACCCTGATCAGCCTCCTTTCTATCTGCACTCTGAAAACTGTCCTCTCTTCAGAGCTCCCTGATTCTACCTGTTCCACAGTCTCTTTCTCTCCTCCCTTCCATAGTCAAACTTCTGGGAAATAAAGCTGACACTTAGTTTCCATATTTTTCCTTTTTCCCTTCTTTGAAAGAAGAAAGTTCTTCTGAAGAGTCTTGGACATCAAGTGACCCTTGGAATATTCAGGAGACCCATGATCACAGATGGAGGCAGAATGACTCTGGGCCTCAAGGGACCTTCAGCCTGGCATGGAATGTGGAGCAGGACATGCTTTCTAAAATTTTAGCTCACATGTGCTTCATCCCTAGGAATGTTCCTGGCCCACAGCTCTCCATTGTTGAAACCGGGACATCTATTGGTGATGAGGCTGAAACAACTTTGATTTTTGAAGAGAAAAGCAGAAAACAGTCTGGAAATACAGACTTTCATTGAAAAGTCAATAGTAATAATGAGAGATGAGAAAGTTTTAAGGACATAAACTCCAGACATATAAACATATAATTCAAACTATAAATCACAGAGAAGGAGATTTGTTAGGGTGGTTTCTGTCTCATGAAAGAGATAAAAATGTAGGTCACCCGGGGGGAGGAAGGGGAAGGGAAAGACAGGTTCGTGAAAGGAAGGGAAAGACTAGGGACTTTAAATACAAGCGTTGGGCCTGCAGCCTGGATTGTCTCTCAGAGCCCACAGCAGAGTCTGGGTCCCTGTTCTGAGGGAACAGCCAGCCTCTCGGTTTCTGAGTCCTTCTTTTCCTGGTTCTGACCTCTCAACTTTGTCACTTTCTCAGGGTTTCTCTTCTCTTCTTGCCGTCTACTCTTTTCTTTTCTGCAAACTTCCAGCAGACTTCCAGTCTCCACCCAGGTAGCCAAACCACCTACACCCTGATAAATTTCCCATCAGTGTTTCTAATCTGTCTTCTCTGATGTAGTCCTTTCTTGCTTATTCCTCTTCAAGCACAGCAAAACCAAGCCCTGGTCTCTGCCCTTTACCAACCTTCTTCCCTTCATCATTCCAGATGTCTGATAATGTCTGCACAGACTGCATTCTTAATGCTCCCTTTCTTCAACCCCCATATTGAATCAGTCACTAAGCTGGGAAGGCAGAAAACAAAAACAAACACCAGGAAAAGCAGAAGGTGTCTCCTCCACTCCATGTTATAATGAGCTCCCCGTGCTTTCCACTGCTCAACTACTAAAGTGTCACAACATACTGAGGAAAGGGAACATCTGAAAACACATGACAATCCTTGAAACCAGCTACATAGAAAGTATAAGCACAAAATGTTTCTTTTAGTTCTTAATAGTGTCAACAATTGGTGTTTTCATTAGGCTATAAGCCAAAAGCACCATCCACATGATGTTATACATCTTGCATGATGCCTGCACCATCGTACATGATGTTATACCCCAAGTCCTGCCCAGTACACTACTTACTCACCGCCATATCTGGACTGCCAGAACCCTAACTTTGGTGGGGTTTTACCATCTCTCTCCAGAATGGGTAGAGTAGCTTCTCAACCCTTCCTAAGCTCTGTCTTCCTGCTCCCCACTTTCTACAGACTTGCTGATTCAGAACTCCCTATGTGGGTGATCCAGGAATCTGCATTTCTAATAAACACTGCAGGTGATTTTGATATACTCCAAATTAGAGAATCACTGGTTACAGGGCAGACAACAAACAGGATGACTTCCAAGATGCTGCTCTCTCCCTCAGTCCTCACCACCTCACTCTAGTCACCAAGGACTTTCCTGATTTGGCCTTTTCTGGCTCTGCATCTTCCTCTCACTTCCCAGTGAATTCTTCAGAACCTCTTTGGAAACTACCCAGGTCTCCTTCAGGGCTCTGCCATCTCCTATAAGTTTGCATGATACTATAATCTCTAGTCCTCATTGCTGTTTAGTTCCTTTTGCCTGAATAAGAACCAGATGCACTTAGCCTTGTCTTGATTTGCAGTTTGAGCTCCTTGAAGTCAAGGACTTAAATGGCAGGCACTTCAGTGTAGGAAATGCAGCTTTGAAGCGGAAACATGTCCATGAACAACCCCAATGCCTTATCACCTTGGATGATATACAGGTGACAAAGTTTTACCTTTTTTTTTTGTAAGGGAGAGATTTTGGCTTTATGAAGGGCAAATCTCTCTTGGAAACATTTACATATGCAATCAGCAATAACCAAAACCACATGAAGGCTGTTGATTATCCATAGAGGGTTTATTTCCACTTTATACCCCTTATAAAAGAAACAGATGCAGAGGCACTTTGCAAAGTAGTGAAGCTTGTGATATAAAATATACAAGATACAACATTCTCTATATGTACTATTCACAGACATAGAGGTGTACTTTGCTGAACCAATTGGAAAAGTGGACACTTTCTAATGGCTCCGTCAGAATCCCTCTAAGGGGCTTGTCCGACTGTCTTTCTATGGCAGAGAATCCCAAGAGCTGGAGCACCAGGGAGAAGGAGGATGCTTAGCCCTGGGAAGGCCAGAGAGGGAGTGCTGGTACTGGAAGCACAGAGTGCTGGAGTAGGCAGGACCCTGAGGGGTATAATGCCTTCCTTTGACAGAGGTCCAGAAAGGGAAGTGACTTGTCAAGGGTTATGCAGCCAGTAGGGGGCAGAGCTGTGACCAACTCCCCTGACTTGCAGCTTTCTGTCTCTTCATTCATTTTCATGAAGTCTCTGCTCCTTTTGATTCTGGCCTTAGGAAACTGGAAGGGTGGATCCTTCTGAGCACCCATGCTGGGTGGGTTCTCCGCAGATATCAGGTTGTAACATGCGGGGTGGTCTGAAGGATCAGATACTCCTAGTGTCCTGAGCCCGCTCTTCTCCCACTTCCTGCCAAGAAGCACCGTGCATGCCAGTGTGCGCATACTGCAAGCAGTCCAGTGGCGTCTCCGTGTCTACGGCTGGGGCCCAGGTAGCCTCTCCAGATGGTATGTTTCAAGGCATTGCACTCATGTGGAAAGGCAAGTGTGATACCTGTGTTGTCAGCTGCTATTCAGCAGTGACACATGAACCTATGTGACATTGTTCTGAGTTGACAGTAGGAATTTAAAGGGGTTGGGGAGCCTCCCAATGCTATTCCCTTCCCCCTGTTTCCCAGCCTTCTCTTTGTCCTTTGGAATTTCTTTCATGGAGAATGTAAGTAATAAGCTCCATGAAGCTTTTGGGAGAGAAACCTCAGAGAGAGGGGCTTCTGGATATGATCTCTCTCTCCTGAAACATGAGTAGTTTGCAGGAGGCCTTCACATATCTGTGCCCAGAGGGCAGGGCTGGGAACAAAAATTGGAGTTAGAATCCAGCTCAAAGTGAGGAAACATTTTCTAATAATGCCCAATAAGGCCCAAGTTTAGCTATACCAACAGTGGGAGCCAATGGGAGTGATAACTGAATAGGAGTGAATCCACGCCATGGGAAAGCATGGTTGAGAGGAGCTAACGTTGGCCGAGAGGTCTAGCTCCCTTGCTATATTGTTGAGAAGAGTGAGGCCAGGAGTGGAGAAAGAACTTACAGGGTCCTGGGCCAGTCTCTTGTTGAGACCCTTTGCCCTTGATCACGTAGCTGCCTCTTGGGGCCTCAGGGGGCTGTCTCTGGCAGATGGGAGTGGTGTGTTCCATTCCTTTGGGCCTGATGGGTAACATGGAGTGTGCTGTCGGAAGTGTGTGGTGCAGCCTGACTTGGTCTGTGGCAGGGCGTGCAGGCCTTGAGGACGTCTGTCAGCTCACCGCTCCACCTGCAGCTCTCCGAGACCTCGTGGGGAGCTCATTTGCTCCCACACCCAGTCCACGTAGTTGGAGACCTTAGTGTACACCCCGTAGACCTGCTTGCTGCCACACTCTTCAGGCCCCCCCCAAGACACCAAGCCTTGGGCTACCCAGCGCTGGCTCAAGTCATCGAGGATGACAAAGGCCCCACCACTGTCTCCAAGGCACGTGTCCTTGCCGCCCTCATAGTACCCGGCACAGAACATGTTCTCGGTGACACTGTAATTGCCTGAGCGGGACTCGTAGCTGGTTTTGCACTCTGCATGGGGCACCACTGGTAACTTGACATACTGCAGGATGTCTGACAAGGTCCGCGTGCCGCTGCTGATGATCTCGTCCACCGTCACATTGGGGTTGGAGATGCCCCAGCCGGCTACCAGGCCCAGCATGTGGGGTGCTGGGCCTTCCAGCTCAGGGCTCGGCAGGCACACAGGCATGACACGGGGCCCCAGGGGCACGGGCTCCCGCAGCTGCACCAGCGCTATGTCGTTGTTGTAGTTCTGGATGTTGAAGTCTGGGTGGAGAACCACACGCGCCGCTGAGCTATTGACAGCCCCTGATCTGTCCCGCACGTCATGCAGGCCCAGGTAGACGGTGACGTGCTCCCTGGAGACCGGAGTCACGGTGTTGTCTCTGCGCTGGGAACGCAGCACGTGGGCTGCTGTGAGAATCCAGGACTCGGAGAGCAAGGCTCCACTCCCAAACCATTTGTCATTTGGCACCCTTGAGGTGTCCTCCACCACTATCAGGGCCTGCCAGGGGAAGAGGCCGGGCTCTGCGTTCCGGCCCCCGATGATCCTCTTGACCAGGTTGGGTAGGGAGCGGGAGGGCTGACCACACACTGCAAGGGGTGGGGACAGAAGACAGATACTGGTCAGGTCAGCCGTGTGAGAGGACACACCAAGAGAAATTCAACATCTCACCCATTGTAGATTATGCCACCACAGGCCCTGCTCTGCCTGGGCCTTGCTGAGCTGGAGAGCTCTGTGCAGGGTCCTATTGCCCCAGGTCCTTCTAGGATAGACTTCCAGAGCCAGTGGCCTCTACGGGATAGGCCATGCTATTCTTGGCCTTGTCCTATCCCAAGCCATTTCCAGCCAAGATCAATTTTGATCTGGACCATCTTTAGGCCAAGATGCTCTCTAGCAATGGCCATATCTCCTATTGCTTCCCTTGAAAGCCATCTCATATCCCAGCAGTGGCCCATGCTGCAGGCACTAAGAAAACTCCCAAAGGCCATAGATCGTGGGCTTTGAGAGAAGGATGGAGCCTCAAAGACTGTCTAGCAGGTCACAGCAAAACTGGACTCTGAACCAAGATATCTGAGACCTTGATCTGACTTTTCTTTCCTATTTCTTCTACGGCTGTTGAGTAAGTCCAGTTCCTTCTCTGGATTTCAACATTTGTCCTACTAAATAAAGCAGATGGTCCAGATGATGTTGAGGGATCCTTACAATTCCGAATCCCTACTATTTTCATTTCATTTGCCTCAGTCACCCTCATTTACAGGTGAGTGTAATAGTAACAATCTAGACCAATAGATTAAACAACTAGCCTAAGTAAACATGGTCATTAAACGTCAGTTTAATTAGAATCTGACAGCTGTCATCCCATAAATGGCATCCTAAAAGGTCATTCCATATAATGACCATCACCATATGGTATCTAACCTTTTATTCTTCCACTAAAGGAACAGATGCCCAGGCTATGCAAGGTTATGGAAAGGTGGCATGATCTACAAGCAATGATGTATGGGCTCTGCTCTGAGCCACCCATCATTGCACTCAGAAGTCCTGTATAGCGTCAGAGGAAGAAGACAGGTCTGAGCAAACTTCGTTCCACCGAATGGTACCCCAAGCATGCACATTCACCATCAGCTTCTTGTAGCCAATTCCTCTGACCCAGGAGCAGAAGGTCTTCGGTACCTGCCCTGCTAAGCTCACACATGTCCTTCCCAGGCAGGCAGGGTTCTGAGACCTGGGAGGTGAGCCTGGTGTGAGCATGGGCCTCCCCTTGGTTACAATGGCCAGGCTACACTCCTTGGCTTCTGGATGCTTTCAACAATTCTTTAAAGCTCAGGCAAGGGGTATTTGAGTTTTGGGGACAACATTGGGAAGACAGGATTTCAACAGCCTTCTCTTTGATGCTCTTCTCTTTGATGCCCAATGCTTCTTATGTGATTCTGAGGCACCTTGTCATTTACACCCGGTCAGACAACCTGGCCTTTGCTAACTTTCAGACTCAAAGGCCAGACTTCGAATTTTAAGTAAGCAGTAATATCTCAAAGCAGGTGTGTGACTATATAACAACTTATTTCATACAGAAGTGCCCTCATGGGGGACACTTCTGTGATACAATATATGATCACAACAAACCAGTATCGGACTGTGCCTTTCTCCAGCTGAGATGCCAGATCTTGGGATGTTCAAGCTGGAGAAGCTTGTAGAACAGCTAATTTACAGATGGAAAAGCCAAGTGTCAGAGAGGGCAAGTGAGTTCCTAAAAGTCATTAGTGGCAGAGCCAGAGGTGGAGACTGTTTCTTCTGACTCCAGCTTCATTTTCTCCACCGAAGTTTATTTTTCCTTTTGAAATGCTCTTGTCCTTTCAAGAAGTTGAATGATACAACACGTCTTTGAAATGGAACCATTCTCTTTGACAGCTACCATCCTCATCCAGTCTTTCTTGGCAAAAGAATCTTCTTGAAATATCAGAGCCTGAGCTGTGCTGAAGTCATATGTGTACTCTAGAAGACAAGGTACTGAGCAAGGGACATTAAAACAAAATTCGATATCTGGAAGTCTGGGTTCATGAGGGAGGCATGAAACAAAAGCAGAGTCCAGAATGGTTCAGCTTAGCTTGTGTCGATGACAGTTCTTGGTTTCTCCTCCCAGCTCTGCCCCTAATTTCCTCTGGTTGTCCTTGGGCAAATAATTATAGCTCACTGATTCTTACCCTCCTTGTATGTAAAATAAGGGAGTGAATAATACTTGCTTCACAGGTTTTCTAAAAAGGTAGATATTATGTTGCTCTATGAAATGCCTTTCTTCATTCAGCTTACTTTTGGATTTAATCTCAAGAGTTTTAGGTGGACAGAATTTAGAAATCTCTGGTCTGGTTTTTCCTAGCCTCAAGCATTAAAGTTTCATAATTCATTGTATCTGAGATACATTCGATAAGTATAGAGTATGGCAGCCATTAAGAGTTACAGAATGTCATGGCTGACATGGTCTTGTTCCCTCATTTCTGAGATCTGGACTCATAGCCCCACAGAGGTGAGATGGCTTACCAAACATTTCCCAGGAAGTGACAGCATGGGTTCAAGGAGCCAGACCCCTGACTCCAACTCAGTGCATCTTCCCATCTTTCTTATCACAGTACATGTTGCGATAAGAAAACTCAGGATGGAGCACATTTGCAGGGTGTTTTCTTTGGCGTACATAGTATCCTAGCAAAATATGGACTTGAACCTGTAGTTTAACACAGGGCCACCATTTCCCATCTTCTCTGATGCTTCACTAACTACAGTATGTGAGTGTGCATCCTGCTAAGCCTAATAGGGAATCAACAAAGTATGGATGGTTTGACCTCTCAGGATTCTACTTCCTCACGAGTCCTTTCTCAGGCACAAAGTCCTCCTAAATGAAGTCTGCCTAGCCAGTCCTCATCCCTCCACTCCCAGACAACCTTGTGCAGTGACTTCTTCTTTCTCTGAGTGTAAAGCACAGTGATGATCAAAACAAAAGCTTGCATGCTAATACTTCTTTCAGTTCTCAAAGATAGATGGTCGACAACACCATATCCTTTCCTTTGTAATCTAACTTCTATAAGCTTAATGAGCAAATATTGAAGGTCACTAAAACATGCTATTCAAAAATACAATATCTTGGTTTACCTAATATTCTAATTCAATAAAATACAAATGCCACTCAAAACTTCAAATGTCTTGATATTTTTATTCTTGAATACTATTCAATACTGTCTTACAATTCTTGCTTTTTTTAAAAAAGTGAAGTTCTATGTCATGAAGAAATTAAATTTAGGTTTTTTCCTTGATTTTCTCTTTAAACCTACATTTTGGAGCTATCATGTGCTTACAAGTCAATTAGAATATATGTTTGTACTGTGATTGTACCTTGATGCTAACATAAATGTCCCAAAATATTCCCCAAATCTTTATGCACGATGACACTTCCTTTTGCCGCAAAATTCTCTTTTGATTTTAAAGTTAATAGGGGAACCACTAGTAGGTAGCAATCAGAAAAACTTGAGCACATTGCTCTTTAGGAGAAATTCTTATTCCGTCTTAAAATCATTTCTTACTTGTCTGTCATTCATTATCCCTTCCGAAAAGGGAAAGCTGAGTACAAGGTGCCTATTTGATTTCCATGGCACACAGCAGGTGCACACACATGTGCTGTGTTGGGTGCAAACCTGGTGCGGGAGGAGGCAGACCTGCAGACAGAGGGGCAGGGAGACCCTGAGCCGGACAAAACAGGCTGGATATAGAAGTTCGTTAGTTTAAGAAGGAGTATTAAACATCTCTGACTTTTGACCTTCTGAGGTTAAGCAACTCTGACTCTTAATTTTCTGATGATATCTCTTAAAAAATAATTAAAACGTCACCCCCCACCATACTAACTCCCTGGGCCCTGGATGGGAGTCCTTGAGGAAAAGGACAGGAGGGCGAGGTACCTGGCAAGCAGGCGGGCCAGCTTCTTCCCAGCACTTCATTCATCCAGACTCCTTGGGCAGAGCACGTATATATACCTGGGAGAGTGAAAAATGATTGGAGAGGGAGACAATGGTTGATTTGAGGCACACAGAAAATAGATCTGGGTTCTTAACCTTTGTTGTGGGTCATGACAAGTCTGAGTGGTCTCCGAAACTACTCTCTGAGTGGTTTCCACAGAAACCACTGTGGAAACTAAAGGATCTTTCTAAAATGGGGATCTGCCGTGGCCTTCTTCAGCCCAAAATAACCAGCAACATTCATTGCCCTCAAAAACAAATGCCACACTGTGGAGTCCAAGGCTGTGAAGTATTTGCCATTGCCCGTCTGTGCCGTTAGCTCCCAGCCACCCTGCCTGGGGCCCAGAGGGGCTTCCTCATGGTCACAGAGCCGGGTGTGGTGTTCACCTTCCCCTGCCTTCCCCACCTAACAAACTACACCTAAGGTCACCGTCTCATGGAGTCTTATAAAAGCTCTTGAACTATCACTGTTCACTGTTTGACAGATGAGGATTAAAGGCTTAGAAAAACAAGAGAAATTTTTAGTGTCAATCTGTAGCAGAGGCAAAGCTGTTGGCCTCTGCAAACGCACCGCCTATGCTGGGGGCTGTGTCATGTGACTATGCTGAGCAGCCATAAGGCTACCTCGGGGTGGCAGAGGGGAGGCAGGTCTCCACTTGTTTTCCTCCCAAACTGTGGCCAGCGGACACGCTGTTTGAGCACGCTGCCTAACCCTGAAGTCTGCGGGTGTGAGGCCAGAGTGGATGGGTGCAGCACGGAGGGGCTCACCTGTGATGTTGTGGACCATCTTGTAGTAGGGCTGCTGGCAGGAGTATCTGATCTCAGATTTGTATGTTGTAAGGTTGTTCCTGGACAGGAAGGTGACCAGCCCGTGCTCCAGCTCTGGCGGTGCACCGCAGTCTGCAACTGGAAGAAACGAGAGTGACCCCATCGTTACCCTTGGCTCTTCTCGTGCTGTCTGGTGGGTCTCAGGAGGACGTGCACTTCTGCACAGCACACAGCCTCAGAGCACAGTGCTGTAGCTGAGAACATGTCAGAGGGCTGTGCAGGTTCACAAGGTGCTACAGTGTGGTCAACACATCTGCTCTGTGACAACTCCAGAACAAGGGCACATCTGCTGAGAGGTAAGCAGGCCCAGGCGCTTTCCCCAAAGGTCCTTTCCTTAACTTCCAGTTCAGGTGTGCAACCCTCTTACCCTCTCTGCCCAAGCACAAAGCCCCAGAAAATTCTGCCTGATATGAACTAAAGACTCTTCACTTCTTCTGGATCCAACCACATGATGAGCGAATGCGCTCACTTTGGAGCTTGGCATGAAAAACAAAAGAAAATACAAACAAAAGGAAGCTGGTTCCTGCATAAGCACAGCCCTACCCCACCCACCGTGCTGGCATTTCCCTTGGCTACAGAAGGAAGGCGACAGGGTCCAGGGTGAACCAGGTTTTAGTTTCCACCTGAACATTTTTCCAATTGTTGATGACTGGACATTGGTGCTGGCTGTAGGATAAGACCGAAGTTGCCTATTCCTCAGAGGTGGCCTTGGGGGAGTCCCCCAGTGCAGCCAGGTCTCAGGGGCATCGCTGAAACTCACAGGGTCCTGCTTCCATCTGCCAGGAGCCAGGTCAGAGACTGAGGAGCCAACCTGTCTGTCGCCACTTGGGGCTTCTGTTAGGGGCTAGTGTTCATCGCCAAAGAAATCCCCATGGTGAATCTAACAGCTTATGGCAGCATTAGAGAGTCACAGAGGGTTCATAGAACTGCACCACTGGACAGGAACCTGAATGTGACACCATGGTGGTCATGCTGGTCATCGACTATTTCTGTTTATCTTGTAAGAACAGCAGAATGGGCTTGCAAGAATACCCTGACTCACTTTATACAAGGAAAGAAAAATCCCGATCTTTCCTAAGTCAACAAGTGGTGGTCAGAGTGCAGTCTTAGAGCAGTGTTTACACTCCTTGCAAGGCCTCTCATTGCCTGGGCTCAGCACAGCCTTAGAAGATGGGACTAAGGTGGCCTCCTCATGGCTAGAGGGACAACACTCAGAAGCCAGGGCTGCTCAGCGTGTTGCAGTTCTGAGTCCAAATTCTAGTTTCACTTGATTTAGCAGAAAGCAACCCATCATTTTCTGTATTTGTTCTTAGACCCCATATATATGTCCAATGCTCCATCCATCCTTGAGGGCCTGATTTGAGAGCCTCGCCAGGCCTCCAGCCTCCTGCTGGTGACCTCACATTCAACTGGTTCTTTTCTCAAAAACTGGTGGCATGGCTTTTGGCTTTCTGCCTTCAGTTCAGCAACAAGGGAGGCAAGCTCGAATATCTTCTGTACAGATGAGTCTAGAGCGGAGATGTAACTAGTTTAAAGTCATAGGGATCTGCAGTCAGAGAGCTAGACTTGACCTTAAACTCAGTGTCCTTTTAAGCAAACCAAACCATCAGTTCTTAAGGGCTGTTTTCTAATTAAATTAGCTTATAATCATTATTAGCTGGGTCATGGTGGACACCAGTTGTCAATCACTAGTCTTAGGGGGCCACATCCAAAGTCCCATAAAGTTTCTAGATTTTTCCTCCTCCTGAGGAAACAGGTGGGGATGTTTATCCCTGAGCTGGTGCTTGGAATTGTGTTTTTAACTTTAAGGTCCATATTCATCTCTCTAATTGAAAAGAACAGTTTTCTCACTTAAAATCTAGAAAACTGCAAGTCTTTCTGGGTGGAAGGGAGGGCTGAAGGATGGGAGCAAATGCAGTTAGCTCTTCCCAAAAGGAAGATAAAAGCCAAGACCTGGTTCATGCTTGTGCTTACCTTCAACACCCTGAACAAATCTCAGGGAAGCATGTGAGGTCAGCAGTAGGTAACAAGAGGTGATGCTATTTAGTACTTAAAGCTATAAATGTTTTAAATGTATTTTCCCATGGACAGACAAAGCAGATTCTTCTTTTTTTTAAGAAATGCCATTGATGGGTGAAGAATCTTGGTATTCTTGACTCCTATAATTTTGCTTTAGCAGTTCATTTTGCTTTTAGGTATCTGCCAAATCTCATACCTAGCTCCAGATGGAAGAATTCCAGGCTTGATCTCAGACATGGCCAGAAGACCAGGCTATTGAGTTCTGTTATACAGCCAGCACTGGGTGGAGATATTTTCTGGATGGAGGGTCAGCTTCACTTCACTCTAGAAAAGTAACTTTGACTACTGATAAAGCTGGCCCTACCACCAAACACAGGAGGTGATGATAGGAAGCAGGTCGCTGACCTTGGGTTGAGCAAGTTGGGGAGGGGTCTCCCTTTCCCTAGTCTACAGGGCAGGCCAAAAGCCATGTCTTTATGACACTCGAGGCAAGTTCCTGCTCTAGGGCCTTTGATCTCTGCCTGGCACAATGTGTCCAGATCCTGCTTGCTCAGATAACCTTCCTTCTTAGTTCTAGAAAGTCTCTCATCCTTTCCTCTTTAGCTCCCAAGGGTCACATCCATGCTCTGGGATCACGCCCTGGGCCACCCTGTCTCACTGCACGTCTCCACACAGGACTCCATTGCCCCCCAGTTGCTGTTTGCTTTCCTTCAGACTTGCTGTCCTGTGCAAGCTTTTCCAGTTCTGGGCTTCCAAGAAAACCACACACCATCAGCTCACCCTAACAATAAGGCCCTGGGGATGCTCTCACGCCCTAATGCCTTGTCTTTGTTCTTCCCCTTGTAAGCTTGTGCCCAGCATCACAGCCTGCTCTTGATGCCAGGTCTCCTCTGCTGCCTTCCCCACACAGCACCTGTGTCCACTGTTCTGCCACCTCGAGACTTTGATCAAACTTGCTTTTTCCCAGAAGCCTCTTCTCATTCTTCTGAGCAGGGAGGCCGGTTTCCTCACTTCTCCTTGCTTCCTCCTTTCTCTCTCTGATGCATGTGTCTTATGACACCTGATATTGTAATTGTTTGTGTTCATATCATGTTTTCTCCCTACATTATGACTCCTCTAGCTGCCATATTTGTATGCTTAATGGAATCGATTCAACTCCCTCTTTTCATTAGTGATCGTCTTGTCTCCCCTCCCAAAGGAACCCCTTCCCTAGGAGGGCATCTAAGTCCCCTGTGGATCCCCCTGGGACACTGCCCTCATGAAAAGGGCATTCAGCTATTAGGGTGGGTAGTCACCATGGAATCAGTGCCCAGGCTCTCCAAAGTGTGTGTCCAGGCATTTTTCCAGGCAGAAGCCGAGATTCCCAGCACGCTGGCTGCCACATCACAGCCCTTCCCTATGTAAGACCCAGTGATGTCCCAGGCACCAGAACTGAGCACTGATGCTGTCATTTGCAATACCTGGCTTTCCAGAAACTTTAATCAGTGAATTTTCAAAAATTTGTAAGCTTCAGAGGAAAGAGCCTCTGGTGATGGAATTTGAAACTGGTGTTGCGTAGAAGTGGAAGGGAAACTGTAGTGGGAGAATATATCTAGATTTCCTTATAATCCATGCTATATGAGTTATTAATTTCACCGACTCATGGCTATTACCAAAGGGGTGACAGGTTAAAAACATTGAAGACATAAAGTTACAGGCATTCCAGCCCACTTAAATTTGAAGTGTGGAGTGGATTAGAAAGCATAGGTCACTTTGACCTGGTCAGCAGAGGATCATGGGATTGTATATTAAATCTGAGTCTCTCAGACCAAAGCTGTTTTCCACTGAGAGCAGTACAATCTACTTAGTGGTGTTAAAAAATAAAATGCCCCATTGTCTTTCATCATTTTCCAGAGAAATGTTTGAATGATGGGCAAACCCACAAATGGAGAATTGTTCTCATCCACTCAGGAGTTTCATCTGCATGAGACTGTGTTGCCTTGTTTGGCATTCATTCTAATCCATACTAAATCGGGAAATGGAGAGTTGGGGGGGCAGGGAGGGGTAGCTCTAGGCCCCCCCCTGTCTTGTGTTGTGGGGAGTCCATTCTTGGAAGTTTGCACTGTGTGGGGTCCCGTCATTCACTCTGTCACTTGTTCTGACTTGAGTTCGCTCTCCACATCCGTTTCGGTTTCTGCCACCATGGTGAAGGTCAAAAAGGGATCAGCAGATATAGAGAAAGGATGCAGAGAGAGGAAGAGAGAGAGGGAAAGAAGAGAAAGAGAAAAATTAGCCAGCAAAGCAGAAACAGTTTATGCAGGAAATAAGGAAATCACTCCATCAGAATTGATTAGGAGGTGCAGTTTAGGGATAGCCAGTGTGAAGGACAGTCTGGGGTTGCAGAATTGGAACCATCCTGAGGATTTACAGTAGTTATTGAAGATTATCTCTATGGTGGGAGAAGCAGGCCCTATTAGGGGCAAAAATTCCCCTTTAGTGTGGAATAATGGGGTATTCTTTTGTATACAAAGAACATTAAGTCACAAAATGGTACCACCAAGTGCTATTACTTACTCTACCAACATCTGTTATAATAAAAACATCTCTGTTTCATTAAGGAAAAAATGTATTATTAACATTTCCTACTCTCCCAAAGCATGAAATAGAGAGGCCACACTTTTCCTATTGAGAAGGTTGAGTCATGGGAAGAAATAGCTTTCGTTGAGCTTTTCCTTATTTCTGGTGCTCCGAGGTATGAGATGTACGCTATTAACTCAGCCCTCAGAACGATCTAGAATTCAGGACCTGAGGCCAAAAGCATCTGACTAAACTGATTTGGGACCCTGTAGAGGTCCAGTCTGGATTTGGATGTAGAACTTCCTGGTTGCCACGCCATGTGCTGCCTCACACCCTTCCCTCCGTCCTCCTTGAGAGAACCCTTGCTTTGCCCTGAGAGTGCCTTGGAGAACTCAGTCACCCTACTGCGCATGAGCCCTGCGTGGGAGGAGGTGGCAGATGTGTTGGCTGGCATTTAAGCTCTTTGATGTTTGGACTGTGTCTTTTCCATCTGAATTCCCTATGGACCTCTGCACAGGCATCTAGTAAAAAACTGGGAAACTTTTTGTTGAAGTCATAAAATGTACCCCCTTCTCCCTCCGCCCTTTTCCCACCAGGCGCTCTGATTCCAGCCACATCATCATATAAAAGAGAAAACTGAAAAAAACAAGCGCAGTCTTCTCTAAATTGCCTGAGATTTGCCTCAAGGGAACCCCCACCCCCACACCTAGTGCCTCCCTTGGGACAATGGGGTGGACCTGCCTGCCTTCTAGGCACTGGCCATGGAGAAGAAGGATCTCACAGAATGAGGGCTGTGGTCCAACCCTACGTTTTGACTACTCACTTCTCCCGAAAGCAAATCTTTCCCCATCTTTTCTTTCCTTTCCTCTTTCTGTCACTGTTCTTCCTCTCATCACTGCTGCCATAGATCAGTTTTCTAACATTGTGGTCCTTGTATATCTTGTACTTGGAATCACTGGGGAGGGGAGGGAGTGGTGGCTGGCAATTTGTATTTTCATTAAACTCTCTACATGATTTATATATATAGTATCATTTCAGAACCATTGAGATATAATTGAGAATATTCAGGTTACTCGTAATTCTGTATTTTACCATGGAGGTGAAGAACAATGTCATGGCCACAGATGTATTAGGAGCAGAGTTAAGGCAAGATCTCTGGATCCCAAACACCAGTGCAGAGATGTTTCCCTGCTTCACATGCACCCCCTGCGCTGGCCTCAAGCCCTTGCTGAACAGCCCAAAGTCGGAATTGTTCCAGAGGACTCCAGGGATAAGGCTGACAGCCACAGAGAGACAGAGAGTGGCAAAGTCACTAGCTCAGGGCACAGATGCCAAAATAATTCCCTGAATTAGCAATTGTCAGAGCTAGTTTCCAGCCTGGAGATGGGCTATGCCTTTAGCGAATTTGTCAGCCTGTCTGCAGAGAGGTAAAATGATTATCTAGAACGTAAACTGGGACCCACACGTTTTTTTTTAGAATCCTCAAGCCTGATTGCTAAAGGGCACTAGTAGCCTTTTTCGTCCAACCTCAGGTGTCTGTTGAGTTTCTGCTCCGCTCCTCTCCTCTCACAGTGCGCTCACCAAGTTTCCCCTCTTGCATGCTCTCCCCCTCTGCTAGGGAACTCGTTATCCTTGTCACCAACTGATTTTATTCTCTTACTTTTACAGGCAGGGATCCTGCTACTCCAGGTCCCATCCTTCAGGCACTCCATCTGGAAGGTGTCCATTTCTACCTTGTCCTAGGAAGAAACATGAAGAAGAGGTGGGGAGGAGAGGTGAGTTGGTGGCTTGTTTCCCAGGAAAACAAAATTAAACCCCAAGTTTGACTGTCTCTGACTGAGATGTTCATCATGGGCTGCCAACGCGAGTTTGGAGAAAAGGGTAAGATAGAGGCTGAAGTCATATTCCCCATGGAACTCTACAGAGAGGCACAGGAAGGGAAGGGAAATCTATACCCATCACCCCTTTTCAGTGCAGTAGTTCTAAAACATGACTGGGCATCAACATTCCTGAGGTTTTGTCCACTGGCCCAGAATTTCTGATTCAGTGGGCCTGGCCTGTCAGTACATGCATTCCCAGTAGAAGGTGCCATGGTCCGGGGGTCCCATGTGGAGAACCAGTCCTTGAGAGCACTGATTCTCTGGCTTGGTCACACATCAGACTCACCCAGGCACCAGAATTTCAACTCATCTCAGAGATGGCCTTGATTTGGAAGCACTACTGCTTCAGAGGGGAGAGGGTGAGCAGTGCCTACCTGCCCGCTTTGAGGTCCCTGCTTCCCACCCGAGTTTCCCCAGAATAAACTTGACAGATTTGCAAGGTTGTTCGACCACACCATACTCTGATAAGAGAGTCTCGTGCTATTTCCAGAAGGAGAGTCTGGGACTCATGCTTCAGATATTCAGAAGACTGGAATTTCTGGGGTATTTTGGAGGTTTATGGGGAAGCCATGAAATACTCTGTGGGGCCATGATAAAATGAAGCCTGTTTGCCTTGAGAGGCTCTGGAGAGTTTCTCTGGTGGGTTGCACCCCACACTCCCACCCCCACCCCAGCCTCCAAGGGCGGGCCCTGTACCTTCAGCACTTTGTAGCCAGTGTCACAGCTGATGAGCACCTGGTCTTTGAAGGAATACTTGGCTTGCAAAGGCTCAATTTTCCCATGGATGGGAGACTGTAAGTCTGGACACTCGTTCCCTGGTGGGGAGCAATGGAGGAGCAGTTAGGGAAAAACCTGCTAGAAAAGCCTGACAGCAAGTTTGCGAGCTCCGAGACCCAAGGTCTGATGGAGGTTGGGAAACTACAGAACTTGGTATTGGGGAGCCTGGACCTTCTAGATCCTGAAGAAGATTCACTTTGGAAACTTGAGCATGTCACGCTCTAACTTGAACCACTATTTCCTCATTTGTAAAATGAGGTGGTTGACTCGATTTTATCAAAACTGGCTGGAGAGGGAATTAATAATCACTGAGGCCAGTCCCGCCTGATGCACACTTTTACAACATCCCCCAGAGTAAAGGCCAAACATTTATTTGCATTCCTGCATGAACAGGGAGCTCTGATACTTCCTGGCCTGTGCCTTCAAAAGGCTGCACCTGACAGGATTTCCAGATTTGGACTCAACCCTGATGGTTTTTCTGTCACAAACTTCTTTGCTAACAGCATTTCCACTCCTCTTCTTACACTAGGCCCTGAGTATGATACCATAGGCAGGGTCGGGAATTCAGTCTACAAGCTGCACTAGTCACATCCAGCTGTGGCCTTGTCCTAACCCCTGCCTCTTCTTCCTGCAGTTTCTATAGGTCCCTTGGGTCACACAGCTCTGTCAGGGTTTGGGTCAGCACTGGGTACCTTGAGGCCCTGGGGAGTGAGGTCAGTGGGCTTTTCACCAGTCTCTGGGGGTCAACCACCATAATGAAGCATTCTGTACTCTACACCTACATCCAGATTCTAGCCCCAGTTTGGAAAAAAAAGGGCTCGAAGCATCTTGCCTAGGCCCAGTGAAGGGCAGGGCAAAGAGGTGGGGTTCAAGAAAAGGGTTAAAGAAAAATGTCCCCACATGATTCTATAGTGTAGCATGTTTTGAACACTACCAAGCTAGTCAAACATACTACCTCTGTGTCCTTAACCAATTTTATAAATGGTAAATTAGTCACAAAGGACAGTGGGCCTTAAATCAGTGGCACTGCCAGGAGTCCCCCACATCTCCAGGAGAGTCTCAGACTTGCATCCCTTGTCCTTCAGCCACTGTCCTTCAAGTGGGACCAGGGTGGGGGAGGTCACAATACCTGTCGCCCTGTATGAGAGCCTCCAGCCCCGGTTCTCGCCTGAGTTGTCGCTGCGGAACATGATCTGGATGCTGTGGCTTTCAGTATTGATGGATTCTGGGGCCTTCTCTCCACAGAAGGGCCCCCACATTTTTGAACCTGCTATAATCTGCAAGAGGCAAGATAGAGAAGGACCCTGTCTGAGCAGCAGTGACTGTTGCAGGGCAGAGGTTTTCTGGAAGCCTCCACATAGACTCCATAGTGATCACTGGCATTTTTACCATGTGTTACCATTTACATCACCTCTGCCCTCCCATTTCTAAAACGCAGCGACCCTGGCTGTGGACATAGCAGGTTGTTGCTCTCCTTGGAGATGAACAACATATTATGGCTTAGGGAGGAGCTGACTCTTATCCATGTGTGCAGGCTGGAAAGGCCTCTGCTCTTAAAAACATACATTCCAGTTGGGGAGTCCTACCATTAAATAATAGTCAAAATAAATATAGGGTCATAAATAGTACAAGGTGATATATTTATGTAATATAAATGCATGCTTAGTGTTTTTAATCTATGTAGTAATTCCTATGTAACCTGTATCTTACATTACTTATACAATAGACAGTAATGTAGATAATGTTTTTCAAAAGATGGTCAGGGAAGACTTCTTGGAGGAGGTGACACTGGATTTGAGTCATACAGGATAAGTAAGGTATATCATTGACAATATGGAGAGATAACTTTCCAAAGGAGAAAACAATAAATCTAAGAGTTAGGATGAAAGGTGGGAAAGAGTTTGTCAAGTTTTAAAAATGGCAACCCAATGTGGGAATGATAAAGGCCATAGCACATGCGTTGAGAAAGTTAGGTTCACTCCCAAGTGCACTCTTGATTGAATCTGGCTTTTATAAAGTTCAGCCTCAATGCAATGGGAGAACAGATTTTACAGGGCAAAGATAGAAGCAAGGATCCAAGCTAGGAAGCTTTGCAGTTGACAGGAGATAATAGATTTGGACTGGAACGGAGCAGCGATGGAGAGAAGAGAATAGCACTGGTCCAGATCTTCCATCTCCCAGATCTGGGCACTGCCTTTTACTCTTTTCCTTTCCAGCTCTGAGGCCAAGTCTCCTTCACCCTTCTTTTGGTGACTTGTACAATCCTGGGTGACATTTTCATCCTGACACCTTTGCTGTAAGGACGGGGAGAAGTGAAGCCCTGAGAAGTTAAGTGCCACGATAAGGCTCACAGCACTTTCCTGGGCCACTGTATGTGGTGGGCAGCATTCAAGATGGCCTGGTGATCTTCATTCCCGGAGTTACTTCATGATGATGTGACATTGCATAGTAAAAGGGATTTTGTCTGTGACCAAGGGACCAGTGTTGCATCAGTGCAGAACCTAGGATGGATCTGGCTAACGGGCTAGATGTTATCTTAAATTACATTTGGGGAAACAAACTTGGCCCCCTGTCCTGGGGAAAAGGATGAGAGCCATGGACATTAGCATTCCTAATTCAGCCAAGAATTTTCAGCCTGGCCAGAACTCGTGTCCCTTGCACGCTTACCTTGATGTAGTCATAGGGACAGGGCACCTCAGGATGGTCCTCAATGTCGAAAATGTCCTCAAACTGCAGGCTGACCCTGAAACCCTCCTCCAGCTCGATTGTGTAGAAGCATTCGGAGCTCTTAGGGTAAGGGTTGGGGAAGTCAGGGCTGGTGATGATGCCAGTCCTCTGGGTGAACAGGTTATCACTGCACTCCACTGTGGGAAACAGATGGGAGTGAGGTGGTGCACACCTCCCTGACCTCAGTGACCCCCTTCTCTGGTTACCATCCTCCCAGCACCCTGAGGAGTGAGCAGGGAGCAGTCATTGTTCCCATTTTGCATAAAGGTAAAGCATAGTTGAAGGAGGGAAGTGACTTATCCAAGGTCACACACCTAGTCACCTAGTACTTTGCAGTTAAACTGCAAGGCTGGAAGGCAATAACACTTTCCTCGGGCTTCCCTGGGATTGGTGGGGGGAAAACGGGATCTGAGAAGGGTTTTGAGACAGGGAAGGTTTGGAACTCATTTTCCTGTTTTTTCTTCAGTCCAGAGCTCCACTGGGTCTCTTTACAAAGCTTCCCCTGACCCTCGACTCACACATAGTCTCTCTGGTCTGGCTTTGTGTTTTTCCTGACACTGGCCACCACCAAACATTTTGCAACACGTTAGTTTGTGGATATTCTTGCCCCGACTAGACTGTATGTTCCATGAGTTCAAGGATTCGTCTTTATTCTCTACTGCATTTGCTGCAACCAAGGGTCCAGTGTCCTGGGGTTCTGGTCAGGGATAAGCTCCCCCAATATCCCCTTTGTTTTCCACTGAACCTTTATCATGAGCTGGCCCATTCTAGATGTGGCCAGTCATTGTTCATTGTTCATTGTGCTCATTTGCACATGAGAGATTTGTGACCCTGGAAAAGAGGTGACTAACTTGGAATCTCACAACTATGTCCTGAAGAAGGAGTTTCAAATAGAGGTCTCTTGAATCCCCAAATTTTAATTTTTGACCCCAGTCCTAGCATGTTTGTGTGAGTGACATCACCGAAGGGGATTAAAAGGTTCTCTGGGAGCAGAATTGTTACCTCTTACTGTGTGAACACACAGGCAGATGTACAGTACATATGCACATACACAGTATATCTGCAGCATTCAAAGCCCATGGGGGGGCAATTAGAAAGATAATGTTTAAGAAGGTTCCCAGAGAAACTTCTTACATTTTTATACTGGTAAAAATAAAGAAAAAGGGCCCTCTCTGGTGGCACAGCAGGTTAAAGCACAGCACTGGGAAGCTAAAGCCACTTCCGCATGAGTTTGATCCCCGCCTGCCCCGGAGGAGATCCACATGGCGCGGCAGACCTCTCCTGACCCCCCGCTGCTCCCCTCAGCAGTGAACTTCCACAATCTGCCTGTTCTGCTCCCCACTCTGTCTCTGGTGAAGCCTCTCGCCACCCCTGCACCTCTGGCCTGTACCCAGTTCTGTATGCACAAATAAATAATTTTTTAAAAAATGAAGAAAAAAATAGAGAATCTTGCTTGCTCTTAATCTAGAGTTAAGATCTATAATTCTTAACCTATAGTGGATATTCAATAAATATTTATGAAGTCAGTAGGATAGGAAATAAAACCTTCTTCCAGAAATCTCCTGAGCGTGCCTTCTTTACACTGATGGGCCATGTGGGGATTTATTCAGAAGTAATAGAAGTTATTGAAGGAGGAAGGAAAAGAATTCTAGTTTCAACCTTGTCCTCTGCCCAAGATCCTTCATTCAGCCTTCAAGTGGATCTTTCTAAAACACCGATCCTCACTCTGTGGTCAAGCTAAGCTCCTGCTAACTCCCCAGGCATTCCATTTCCACCGTGCCTCTGAATGTCTGCGGGAGATGCTGCCCTACCGGAATGCACCCTCTTCCTTTTCCTCATTTCTGTCAAGGATCACTGTCTCCGGGGAGTGTCGGCCCTGCTTGTTTCCTGCAACACCAGCCTGGCTGTGCTGTGACCAGCCTCCTGCACAGTACTTGCTCCATCTCTGACTGGATTCTGTGGCTATGCCCCCACTCCCTGGAGCTTCTCAGGGCAAGTGTGTGAACCCTTCTGTTTCTTCACTCCTGACGGAACCCCGAGAAGGCAGGAGAGTAGGCACATGGGTGAGAAACGAAAACAGAGGGAAGAATGGTTAGCCCCTGTGGTCTCTGTCTCAACCTCCCTCCTCCTGCTTCTTGCCTTTAGACTGTAGTTCTTCTTTTTCTTTATTTCTAAATTAAAAAAAAATACTTTATTTCTTTCTCATGAAAGAACTGGAGTGTAGGCCAGAGTTGTGGGTCATGAGAGAATTCACCAGGGACAGAATGGGGAATACAACAACAGGTGAGTCTATTGAAATACACTGCTGAGGGGAGCAGCAGGCAAGACAGGAGAGGTCTGCTGTGCCATGTGGGTCACCTCCCTGGCAAGGCATTGAACTCCTTCAGTAGCAGTGACGTGCTGAGACTTAACCCCTAGGCCACCAGGGAGGCCCTGAGCTGAAGTTCTACCACAGGAGAACTTAAAAGACCATGATGGAAAAAAAAAAAGAGAAAAAGAAACTATCTCTGACTTCATGGCTCAGGGGAAGAGGACCGAGAAGCCAGGTTTTCCCTTGCACTCCTTACAGCAGCAGAGGAGAGAAGAAACACAGAGCAGAGCTCTGCGGCCAGGAAGAAAGGTGGCCTCACGCTAGGCCTTCTTGAATGTGGTCCTTGGAGAACCAGAAGCTGGTGGGCATCTCACCATCTTCATCCACATGGTTTCTGAGGTACAGCTATGTGACTTCCCTGTAAATGATTGCCACTGCATCCCCACCCTACCTCTGAGCCTCCCCTAGTCTTTCTGGCAACGTGATGCTGAAGGGTCGCAGACAGAGCCCGCTCCGGGTCCTACCTCGGCAGGTCCTGTTGTCCGTGTGGAGGATGTAGCCAAAGCGGCAGGAGCAGTAGTAGCCCCCGATGTAGTTGTGGCAGTAGTGGTCGCAGGACAGCTCCTCGTCCTCCTGCTCCGTGCATTCGTCCACATCTGCAGGCAGAAGAGCTCAGTCAGCCAGCCAGAGCTGCCAGAGCTGCGTGTGCCTGCCGTGCAGACGTGCGCACTTCCTTGCTCCTCAGCAAACCCCGAGAGTAGCCATTATCTCCACTCACAAAAGAGGAAACCACAACGCAGAGGATGTAGGTAATTGACCCAAGGTCACAGAGACCTTCAGCTTCAAACCAGGCAACCTGAATCTTTGATGCCGGTAGCCTCTGAAGTTAGAATAACAGCAAGCAGGGCCATGGTCACTCATTCTACAGGCACTGAAGCTAAGTTGGAGGCATTCAAGGACTTACTCCAAGACACACAGGTAGTCAGTGGTGGAGTTACTATGCAACTCCAAGGACTGGCCCAGAGCATGGGCTCTTGAATCCTCCTGTCTGCTCTTCTCGCTCTCTCTAAGTCCCTAATGTGGGTCATGCCTTGTCCTAGATTTTGGAAATATGAAGATAAAAGGGTGTATGTTCTCAAGCCCACTAAAAATTCAGACATATATTTCCTAAAAAAGAAATTTGATCTGTTGTCACTCAACATTAGTGACCAGGAAAATGCAAATTAAAGCTATAATGCGGCCCCATTATATGCACACCAGAGAGGTTAAACATGTAAAAATTGAGAGCGTCACATCTTGGTGCAGCTATAGAACAGCCAGAACTCTGCTAAATATTTAAGAAGAAATAGACTTATGTCTGCAATTTACTTTCAAATGCATCAAAAAAAGAAGAGGCAATGAATAGATGACAGATAACTGTCTAATTATATGAGTGAGTCAATGCAATAAGAATTAATGGCAAAATTATGAGGTGAGTACACAGGTGTTCACAGTAAAGATGAGAGCACAAGACTTTAGAGATGAAAGAGACACTTGGGGGGGTGAGCGACCCAGTCGTCCAACTTACCCACAGCCATGTAGTGGGCATCAAAGCCTGTGAATCGCTCCTCATTGGAGAAATCTGATCGGAAAGTGACGGACATAAAAGAACCAGGGGAGAGGACAACTTCCTGGCCTGGGGTCTGCTCTGTGTCCGTGGCCTCCCTGCCACAGAAGGTTGCCAGAACCTGGTCTTCAGTTTCTACCTTTGGGGTCAAAGAGAAAGGGAAGGAGATGAGCAGTTTCCCAAATTAGTTTCTCTGCTGGTCTCCAGGAGAAAAGAATACGTAAAGTTAGCCATGAGTTGACCAGGAAACTGGGAAAACCCAGAGAAAAGGGAACAGGGAATCTGGGGTTTGAGGAAAGTTGTATTACTGGTTAAATTAACATGAGCAATCAATCACTAGTTCATTTATCTTGTTGAGGTCTGTTAGAAGAAGCCTGACATTTTTCATGTCTGTTAGCAATCACATGACTAGTTTGGTGAAGATAACTCTATGGTAAAATACTGAAAAGTTAGATAACTTCACAGATAGATTCTATATATTCCATATTCTGTAGGAATTGACTACATTTTTTTTAATGTTTATTTATTTATTTATGTATACAAAAATTGGAGTACAGGCCAGAAGTATGAAGGTGTGAGAGGATCCACCAGAGAGAAAGAGGGGGAACAGAACAGGCAGATTTACTGAAATACACTGCTGAGGGTAGTTATCTCAGCCCAGAGGCTGAGACAGGGGAGGTCTGTTGCACCATGTGGGTCACCTCCCTGGCTGGGGAGTGAACTCCTGCTGCAGTGGTTGCTGACAATTCATAAGCTGCACTTCCAGGAAGGACCCGGAATTGACCACATATTCAAAGATATACAAAGATAAATGTTGTCATATACAACAAAAGTAATACAATGAGTATCAGTATCCCCTACAACTGATTAAGGCATAGTGTACAAAAAGAAGTTTTTAGGTGGAGGAAAATGGACATACAGTTTAGCCAGTGTGACAAGTGCTTTGGTAGGAATATAGACATGGGAATGCACTCAGAGGAGGTGAAAATTCCCATTAGAATGTAAGCTGCAGGGCCCTCCCTGGTGGTGCAACTGGTAAAAGCACAGCACTTTGAAACTAGCTGCAGCCACTGCAGCACAAGTTCGATCCCCAGCCAGGGAACTGACCCACATAGTTCAACAGACCTCTCCTGACCCACCTGCTGCTCCCCGCAGCAGTATATTTCAGTATATCTGTCTGTTCTGCTCTCTACTTTGTCTCTGGTGAATCCTCTCAACCCCTGCACCTTTGGCCTGTATCCCAGCTCTTGTATGCATAAATAAATCTTAAAAAAAAAAAGAAAAAGAAAAAAAGAATGTAAGCTTCAGAGAGAGAGACTTTGTTTTCTTTATAGACATGTCTTGATGGCACAGGACCTGCATATAGCAGTTACCCTATAAATATTTGTTACTAAGAACTAAATGTGTAAGACCCATTTTGAGACAGTGAGAAGCCAGGGAGTCTTTGGAGATTGTAGCAGGAGATGTACTTAGGATAGGTTGAAGCTAGATTATGATTGACCTTGTATACCTTAATAACAAGAACTGACTCTTAGTTCTGTGATTACAGGAAGACTATGAAAACTTTTGAACAGGAACACATAGTCAGGACTATATTGCATAGGTAGTCTTGATTCAGAAATTGCTAAAATCATTCAAAAATAATGTGTTTGTGTTAAAACCCAATGGAAAAGTGTAGAATTATTAAAAGAATTCCTTACGCTGAAAGAGTATATATGACCCTGTGTAAATTCAAACACCAAAGCAAAGATAAAAATGGTTGCCTAGGGCCCTCCCTGGTGGCGCAGTGGGTTAAAGCACTGCACTGAGAAGCTAAAGCCACTTCCGCATGAGTTCGATTCCGTCTGCCCCAGAGGAGATCCACATGGCGGGGTAGACCTCTCATGACCCGCCCGCTGCTCCCCTCAGCAGTGTACTTCGTCGATCTGCTTGTTCTGTACCGCACTCTGTTTCTGGTGAATCCTCTCACCCTCCAAATCTCTGGCCTATACCCCAGTTCTGTACGAATAAATAAATAAATTTAAAAAAAAAAAAAATGGTTGCCTATAGCTTATTTTGTTGAGTTTGGTTGGAGAAGCACAGTGTGAGAGCCTGATGGCTTTAAGCTGGTATTTGTGTTTGCAACCCTACATTTTAACCAAGATGCATGAGAAAATCTCTTACCAAGAAGAATGATTTCTGCTGCCTTTCAAAACCATTAATGGAAAGTTCTCAAAAGCTGCCTATCTCTAGTAGCGTCTAATGAACTCATTGTTTTGTTCATTAGCTTAGGATGTCAGAAGTATCTTGACATTTGACACTTCTGTTTTGAAACTAATGATTTATTTATTTAAAATAAGTGGGAGTTTTACCGAAAAACAGTTTGCCCTGGCAATGAAATACAAGGACAATTAATCACTAACTTTGGAAATTGAAGTGTAAACACAAGATGAGATCATGGCTTTGCTATTTATTCCTCTTCTCTGCAGACACTAGCCGAAGTCACAACAGCCTTATTTCTGTAGAACACGCCTATCTGCATACAGCTGAAATATCACTTCCTCAAATATCACAGCTGGCTTATTTTGGTTAATTGAGTTTTCCAGATAGCTGAAGTTTCATCTACTTATAATTAAAAGGTGTTTTTTTTTTGTTTTATTTTTAAGGTGTAATGACTTAAAATTTTCTTTCTACAAATTCCTCTCTTTTGGATGAAACATGCCAACATTTCTTGGTTACTCAGAGAGACGGTACAGGAAATTGGACCATCTTGGGAATGTTCCTTGGGTGCTGCTGCTCACAAAGCATTGGACATCCCCAAATATAATGCCTTTGCAATGCTTATGTCTTCACTGGGTAACACTTTATTTCCTATCTGTATGAGCCTATTAACTGAAATATGTTGTAGAATAGAAACCAGTTAAGGTACTTTTGTGAGAATTTAGTAAAAATAAGACAAAATAATCTTAAAATAAGGGTCTGGGGAAAGGATTCTTCTGTGAGTAACAGCACGAACTGCAGTACATTATCTTCGGAACCTCTGCTTTGGACTTCTGTGGTAAATAAGCTTCCTCTCTGTAATTTCCAGGCATAAGGATCTTTTTGTGGTGGCAGATGAGCAGTCATCACCAGAGAGCCATACTCTTCCAGTGATCAGGTAAGTTTGCCTTGCTGGACCCATGGGAAGCAGGTGCATGCTTCTGAAGATAAGCACTGGCATTTGGAGGTCCTGGCCCTATTGTTGACATCAGATGAGCAGCTCTATGGATACCCTCTCTTGAGCTCTCTGTTACCCACCTGGAAAAACAGGGGTTTAGGTGAGTTCTAGGTTCCTTCTAATTTTGACATACTAGTATTGTGACGCGTTTTCATCTCCATACATTAAATAAGCCAACTAGAAGAGAAGCCAGTGAGCAAGAATTTCAACACATATTATTTATGAAAAACTTGATGGGCTTGAACCTGTTTGTGGTCTATAATTGTGTGATACAAAATCAATTACCAATGATTAGTGATGCCTGAACAGCTTCTGGATACAGAAGGTTCCTTCCTATAACTGTCTATTTTCAAGGTCTCCTGGGCACTACAGTGCCTGTACACTTTCAAGTGAAGTATCCATAATAATTTGGATTACGGAGAGAGGGCTATTAAAGTTCTGTGGTAAATAAGCTTCCTTTTTGTAATTTCCAGGCATAAGGATCTTTTTGTGGTGGCAGATGAACAATCATCGACCAGAGAGCCAGTGATCAGGTAAGTTTTCTTTGCTGGACCCATGGAAACATCTGAGCCACAGGGAATTTAGACAGCAGCCAGCCCAGAATAGAGTTCTGGAACATCAGAGCTCTATCTGGACATATAAGAGTTATTTCAATTCCCCCTCTTTCGGGGGGTGGGGGGAGACACAGATGGGGAATCACTTGCTCAAGGTTGGAGAGATAACCACAGGTATTTCCTGATATCAGTTTTGTTTTTGGATCTCATCTGACCCCGGAGAAAGGAACTCACCGACTCAGAGAGTACATGACAAAAGACATAGACACTATGCCAAAAGTTTCTGACTCAAGGTCCTCTTGACACCTTATCTTGGGTGCTTGGACTGTCTCCCAGAGAGGATGTGGCTCAGTTGCAGCTCCAGCCATAATCTAAACACAGGGGTCACTGGTTCCAGTTATAATTTGTGGCCCCTGCTATGAATTGTAAAATTCTACAAGAATAATTTACCTCTGACTAGATTGAGGCATGGGATTGAGCTTAGACTTCTAGTTGGAATGTTCCATTTATAGGATTATCATATTAACATGAGGGAGGGAAATAGTTTATCAAATGAAGATGCAAAATTCATCATAATAGAGAACCATCTGGCTAGCAAATCACAGACTCTTCATTTCTCTGTTTCCTATTATGGGCAACCATGTCTCTTCATGTTATTTGGGATAACACCACTGCATGTCTTTCATTTGTTTTCTTTCAATTGAATGAGACAAATATTTATATACCAAGTTCTATTTCTCCTACAGCAAGGACATGCCAAAAATCACTCACTTGTTGCCTTTAATAGGAATGTGAATGTGGACTTTAGGCGGAAAATAAGTAATAAATTGTGTATATGGTAGGGTGTTGTTGGGACATACCTATTGTATTAACAGATGGAAAGCCCCAGGGGAAAATGGCATCCATCTGAGATGAATCAGAAAACATCATGAAGGAGAGGATGTGATTTGAGCTGGGGACTGAAAGATGTATAAGATTTAGGTAGGTAGAATTAGTAGGTGGAGGGGTGAAGGTCAGAGTGAGATCATAGAAGAAGGAACTGTGAAGGCCTGGCAGTCTCCATAGTATGAAACTCCCTCCTCCCTCCACCTGAAATGGAAAAGAGCCTCAATTGCAGATAGGAACCTGGGAGGAGAGATCTGACAATTATTCTTTATTTTCTATGAATTTTCTATTTCAGTAGAAACTTCCTAGGTAAAGCTAAGGCAGAACAAGAAGTTGACCGAGTTTCTGTGGGAGGCCAACCATGACTGCCCTCCACCTGACCCTAAAGTCACCTGAACAGAGTTTAACAAAGGCACTGCTACCCAGTGGGTCCTCAGAACAATGTCTGGAGAAGGTAGGTCAACAGTTACTGCTCTCATTTTATATGTGAGAAACCTGAAGCCC